AATTATGGAATTAAATAAAATGGTATGAAAGCCAGCCAGGTTACTTTTTAAGGGAGCGATATCGAGCATTTTTCTCCTTCGACTTTTTGTGCGCCGCCATATTGGTAATGCGCATTTATCAGCCGCTGGGAGCGCGATAACGCGAAGGACGTTCCAATTTATCGGATCGGCGTAAACGACTCGGGTATCGGGACGATCGCGGCTCTAGTTACATACAGGCATGTAACAATTTCTATCTGTCAGGACGACGACCACCATAACGACGAGAGGAACGGCGGTAACGGAGTTAGCGTTCGAAGTATCTTACCGTAATGTATGCCGCGTATCTTGCGTATGCCGCGAGCCGCTCTACATGCCGAGGACATAATCATACGTTAAACTATCTTATGCCGAATGCGAATATTCGGATAAAAATCCTATCCGTTGATCGGAATAGTTCCCGAGAGCACCGCGATCAACTAGTACTGGTCTAGTCTATGCGAAAACGTGATCGGAAAGACAATATTCCGGAAAAGTTGTGTGAACATGTCCCCCGGTAAAAATGAAGTACGCGCGCTTAGAAATACCTAGGCAAGGTACTGGAGGCCCATCAAAATGGAAATGAGAAGAAAGCAAGGCCTACTGTAAAGTTCACTTTTTTTTTCCCATCCCTTCTCCAGACTCCAAACCGAAATGGAAATAAATCCCGAACCTATCTCGCGTATCCATTAGTCATTAACCCATTACTTGACGTTTTTTACACGTCCTAGTATCCGTTAGTCTTTCGACTTTGACGTAATCCTATGAAATGATTCTACCGAAAATTGGGGCGGCATTCATTAACACATCGTTTCGTAATTTTGTCGAGTTACTTCAAATCACCGCGAAAGGGATCTCGTATAAAATTATTAACAAACATTTGTTCATTGCTAATCGATGTAAACGACGTGAAAGGATTCGGTACGACCGGTTCGAAGAAAAAATTTCATGAACGATCCCCTCGGATGGCAATTAAAGTTTCGATGATTTTCGATGATTTCCAATAATTTCCAATAATTTCTGTTGATTTCCGATAATCGTTATGACGATTTTCAATTATTTCCGATGATTTCCAGAATTAAAATGCAAGATTTCCTGAGTGGATACGAGAAGATCCTCTTTCTCGGCGGTGAACGTCCTCCACGAGGCGTGACGGGTCGTAATCCGAAACCGAGATGCAAACACGAGATAAACCTCGAAGTATCGGTACTCGTCCAGTTTCGGGCGCGTGCCTCTTCAGCATCCATGCATTTTTTCAGGTGCAGGACGCCGGAGTGGGTATCTCCTTTGAGTGTATTTAAGCCGTCGAGAAAGAGATGCGATCGCTACCGCGAATAGCCTCGCGTCCCTGCCAAAGGAATATCTTAAAAGAAATCGAAAAACGTGTCATCGAAGCACCGAGAGGGTCTTCGTCCCTGGTCAGACGTAGGATTAAAAAATGGCTAATGTCCGAGAGGGCCTCTCGGCTACCCTGAGCAAATTTTATGAGAAGACGCGCAACAATTTATTTTATTTCAGGTATTTTATAAGACGTTAAATAAACTGGAATAAATTGAACGACACGTTTCTTCGAAATCATGACGATTGACTTGAGTCAAGTAATTTCTCGAATGAAGAAAATATTTCTTTGGCTCGATGAATTTTTTTTTCCTCGCATTTTCAATCGATTTGCGGGAATTAGTGGAGGGTACGATTTGATATTTTTAAGACATTTGCAAGGATTATACGAAACTTGTTCGCCCCGAACAATGGTACCGAGAAAGAAGGTTTAGGTTTCGGTCTCGTTATCCGCTCGTGAAAATTCAAGCGTTTATCGCAAGAGACAACTCGACGTCCGATAACAACATCCGCTTGGTGGAAATAAAAAGATCGTAAAGTGGCGAGCAATGTGTCGAACACTTAATAAAATGAAAAAGAAAACCTCACGGTGAGTACTTTGGAAACTCGTGCGATTAGAAAAGCGATACCTCGTTTAGGACATTACGGTATTGTAATAATAAATGTGTACCGAGCATGAGTAATTTTTTAAAGTCCAAGTCATGGGCATTACTCAACGTTTGCATCGGCAATGCTTGCTACAGTTGTAAGTACATGTCATTTGCATCGCGAAAAAAAGGGAGAAAGAAAAAAAAAACAATTGACTTGCAAAATCTGACCTTAATGTAGATATTCTCTCTTAATTAACGACGGCTGATGAATTTCCAGAACACTCGGACGAACGATTCTAAGGAAAATATTCGCAGAAACGCGTAGTGCTAATCGGGCCGTGTTTTCGTTTTGCAATGCTTGTACCTATCGACCATTAGCTTTGCATAGCAAAGCGATGCGAATGGTAATAATTGCTAATCGCACAAGATATATTTCCCGATTTTCCACGTGCTTTTTCAAGGTATATGCAGTACCTCGATAGAAGAGATATTCCTTTCCATTCGGCAATTGTTGCTACGGTTCGACATCCGTACCTCGCTAATTACGCGTAAGAATGTATAAACAACCGTATCACTTTTTATCCCGTGATTTTACCGTCGAGTAAGTACTTTCTCCGAAATGACATCAAGAGATCGAAACGTAAGTATCGGAAACATTGTGCCAGTCTTATCAATTCAGCAATTTTGTCACGATAATATAATACTCGTAAAAATTCACGGAAACTTTCCCGCACTTTCGGAATCCATTAATATTTGGAGAAAAGAGGCGAAGATCGCGCCCTACTCTCGTTCATATCTTTAGTGCGCATTACGTACTTAAGTTCTAACAATTTCCCATCAATATGTCTTTTATCGCGAGTGAACGGTTATTACGGAATGGTAGTCGAATAAAATCGGTAGTTTGCGTTATTAAGATATGCATAATGCGAAGATCCAAGGCCTTCGGGATACCATTGCATGTCTTGTATAAGATACGTTTTGCGTAAGTGCTGAGCAGCATTGCCAACAATTTCTCGTTAATCGTCTTTGATGGTTTCCAGTATATACAGACTCTAACGTAAATTGTCTATCGTGATCATCGCGATGGAAATCCTTGACCACGCCAACATAGATTCGTCCCTCTTTCCCTGTATATAATAGACATTCTTTGAGCCGTTAGAAGTATGTAAAACATATGTCAAATATGTAAAACGCACGTTAAATTTTCGTTGCGAACGTTTTTTTTTCATTTTCCTTTCCATATAAAAGTCCGACAGTTGCATTTTTTCCCCGCGGTGGATTCGCAGTGCACTCCACGTGCATGCGAAAATGCATTTGCGGCGACCCTCTGTCACCCCGTTTCCCTACAAGCTTATAAAACTCTATAAAACGAAAACGGGGCATTCTCTCTCTTTTTCCATGTAAGGGTTCCACGTCGTTGGATTTTTTTAACACGGTGGATTCGCGGTGCACTCCGGTGCATTCGCGGCGACATGGCGACACCCGGTTTGCCTACTTACGCCTACTTTGCTCGAAACGAACGGTCGATCGAGCTCGTGAACATTCGCTCCCCGACCCGGACTCGTGCAGGCGAGAGAAAGAGGCCCGATAACAGGATAAGAAAAAGAAGAAGCGGGAACGAGGGAAGGAAACTCTAAGGGAAAATCCGCCGAGCCGCGGAGAAACGCGCGCCTGCGTTTCGCGACAAGAGCAACGCCGGGCAGCGATTGGGCCGCGATAACGCCCCCAGGCCCGATAACATCGATTTCGACTTAGCGTCCGTATTTTCTATTCGGGCCGATCCTATCGGTTCGCTTTTCAACGCCCTAATCGCGCCTCTCGAGTTCGAATACCTAATGAGCGACTTCGAGTCGCGCTAATTAACGCGCTTCGTTAATTCCTCTGGATACGCGTGATTACCGCGACGTACCGAGACTTAACACGGAGAAGAAGAATACGTTAAACTAACAGGATAATCTGTAAAATGTAGGGAAAAATAATAATTCCATTAATAGCGCAATTTCTCCGTCGAAGAATTTTTTCGAAACGCATCGGGGGTTTTTTTTTTCTCTCTCCAAATTGTAAACGGCACCCATTTTCGGGGAGCCTAAGGTAGTTTAACAAACGGCGGAGGTAAAAATAGAAAACATAGGAAAAACAAAGGCCTCGAGGATTTTCGGTTTTGGAAAAAGCCGTCCGGTCGACCGTGACGATAAATCGTCGGCGAGTCCTGGAGCTCGACCGTTAAGCCGAGCTAAGGAGCATCGTAAAACCGGGCACTCGGGAGGAAGGTGAGATAGAAAAAGAGGGAGAAAAGGGAGAAAAATGAGGCAGGAGGAAAAGAGAGCCGAGTCGGTGTGACTCGACTTCCGGTTGCACCGTAGTACACGACTTTCCAATAACGAGGTGCCTAAGGCTGGCATCTCGTTTCCCGAATGGTCCGAAACTACCTACGGCCGTCCGAATGACATCCCGCCTTTTCGGCATTATCTTAACGTTATATCTTCACATGATCGCCCACTAATAGGGCGAATTCATTGCCGACATCTCCCAGCTCGTCCTCCAAAATTGCCGCTCGAATTCCGCGCCGAGTGTACTCTTGGATTTGCAAATTCGATGGCAATTTCTTTGCTCGTTTTCTATTTTTCCATTCCTTCGTATACTTATACTCCTAAGCGTATATTTTATGTCTGGTGGACAATGCGAAAGGAAACAGCAAGAAAAAGAACAAATCCACGGTCGCAAACATAAATGAACGCGTACACGGGAAAGGTTTATCGTCGGCGTATTTGAGGTTATGCCGAGATCCCCGCGCGATGAAAAGTACGTGTACAATAATTGGCCTTTATACCCTTATTAAATACCTACGTACACACATGGTGCACACAGTTGTTTCGGGTATCCTCGTATCCAAATATGGATACTTAACGGTGCTATCAGAGGGCGAGAGAAAGAGGCGGATAGGAGAAAAGGAAGTAAAGGTAAATAAACACGTAGGCGAGAAAGGGTTAACGTCGGCACATTTGAGGGTGGAGTGGAAATCGGGAATAGGCGTAATTATAATATAAAACTTGCCGCGCCTTGTCGCCTCTTGTGTCCCTCCTCGGGTTCTTCCCTCGACCGCTTCTCTCACGACAACGTCCCGGTCGCCGTCGATCAGAGGTTCTCCCCTCGGTGCTGGCCAACTTCACGGTACTCGATCTTGAAAGACGGGAGAGACGACAAAGCTATAAAAAAAAATAGAGAATGCAGCTTCATTTAAAGAAAAACACTAATCCAGCTAATAATCCCAGGAAATTCCACACATTAACACCATTAAAGTGACACCAAAGTGTCATCCACACGTACAAAAAAGTCGAAATATTTTTCAACCCCGGGGAAAACAGATAATGCAAACGATGCAACGTCGGTTTCAAGGGAATTTCCCCTTGAAGATATGTTATAAAATCCCAAGATCATTTAAACGATACCGCGTCGCGTTAGGAGTGTACCGGGAGACATCGATGCCCTCCCGACCTGCACAGGCGATGCCGCATCTGCAGGAGAGGCATTCACGTCCGCCACTGTTCCTTCGATTAAAAAATTGTCGTTAAAGGGTATACACCCGGCATGAGCACCTCTGAGTCCCGTCGACCGTCCTCGTCTTTATACTCGTGGCCGGCGCTCGATCAGCACCACCACTTGGCGCCGGTGGTAGTGTGTACGGGGCATTAGCGTTAGGTTAAGTTAGTAACCGGCGAGTGGTCATTTCTTTTTCGCCTAACCGCTGTCGCGCATCTTGTTCGCCAGCGGGTTGAAATATTATTGCATTCCGTATTATATGGGTGCATGCCTACCGGCAGCCGTGGGGAGGTAAAGGGAGGTGGATCCGTGTACAGGCGCCTTGGGACCCGGCCAGAGGGACGGACATCGAAAGTCGCAGGAAAAAGAATCGAAAATCGTTCCGACGACTCACTCGCTCTGCCGAATCCCAAGGTAGTCGTGTGGCGGTCATAGGATATATATATATACATGTATGCATAGCGGATTTTCTCTATAAATGGTGATTTAAAATTCCCAATCACTTAGCTACTCTAGCTGGGTAGTCGCACTGCAAATTTGCTATAATTGAAGGAGTGCACTTTAAACGATCACGCGTGTAAAACTCTAGGAAGGAACGTGGGGGGCGGATGTCATCGATTTCCAGACTCGTCCGATATCCGGATTCCCATTAATTGACCGGGATTCGATTTTCTAGGAGTGAAAGCGCCACTTTGGGACCGGTTCTTATTTGCTCGCCCTGGTTATGATCTGATTATTCCTAAAGTCCTCGCGCAGAACCGCGACGAGCGACGAAGCCCACTGAGCATGCGGATAAATATGAAAATATGAAAGAGTCAGCCTATATATATACAAGTCAAATCGCTAGTGAAAGTATCATCCAAATTGGGTGTATCGATTCGATTTGACATTTTTCCACGGGCCCTAAAGTAGGTCCTGAAACTCCTGAAATTTGATTTTTCATAAAAAAATTTCTTTACGGTGTTGGGAATACGCAATCCGGCGAATACACCCACGTGAGATGAAAGTGCGAGAAGTGAGGGCTCTCGTGGAAAAAAAGAAAAAAAAAAGAAAAAAACGTAATAAACGCCTTGGTCCATCCTTGGCGTGCAGAGATGCGTCTGGCGGCGTGACGGTAGCCCTCGGTGATTCAACCTTCGGTATAGAAGCGGTTTAATCGATTCCTCCGGGTTTCTAGCTCCCGTGAGAGAAGGTCGTCGATCTCATTGGCCTGGGTGCGTTTCGTTCAACGCACTCGCACACGCTCCGCATTAATAAGCTTAATAATAAGCCGCGGGTCCGTGGCGAGGGGTTGCGTGTTCGCGGCGAATCGCATCCTCGCCGTCTTCTCCTGGGACAGATCTAACGGGTCGGCGGACCCGGTCTCGCTCGATCGGGTTTAGGCACACCGAGAGCCGCCGATCGCGTGCACATTCTTCGCCGATCGGTCGGATCGATGATCCACGGCTTCCGCGATCCTCGCGCGATCCTTCCAAAAGGTCTCCGGGCTTTACAGTTAATCAGCTTGCACGGCCACGAGAGCTCACGCACTCGTAATCGCAATGGATCCTAGGTGCGGTCGATCTTTACCTCGATCCGAGTGGTGGGACCAGAAGGTCCAAATTACGATCTGGTGGGATCAAACTTAGGTTGCGACGGGGTGTGGATGATCCGGACCCAAGGGAATCAGGAACCGATTTAGGGACCTTAGAGGGATTCGAAGCTTCCCATTATCAACAGTTCCCACTTGAGTATTCAAAATGGCATTGGCACCGATAAGGGTATCGACGTCGATTTAATTTCCGCCTTTCATATCCTTTTATGAGCGTTTAATCAGTGGGGGAAGAAGCTCCCTGAAATCCATCGGGCCAATTGACCGGGACGATGCCCCTTGCAGCTAGAACCCGGGACGTGGGCTCTGGCCGGGCAAACTAAAGTTAACGATCTGGCCTTTATTGAAATTTAATGGAGTTATCGGGTTCCGAGGACCAGTTGCTCCTGTTAGACCCGCTCATGGGAATTTATTGCATCGGAGAGTCGGGTGACCTACCCGGGCGAGAATCCCCGGCGATCCGGCATCCTTCATCGGCGTCGACCGCGCCATCCATCATCCCGTTCCTGGCGGGACGCTATCGCGCCTCTGGAATCGGGATCTGGATCTCAATCTGGTATCTGCATTCGCACTTCGACGCATACCGCGGTACCTTCCGCGGTCTCACGGAATCCGGACCCGGGAGCAACGGCACTTGGATCCAGGAACGTTTTCAAGTCCCTCTTCGACGGGGAACCAGAATCGGGACTTCGTGCTCGAGTCGGTGCTCTTCGATTTAAAGATAGACTTAGGGTCGTGTGTACGGATGTGTACTGCATAGATTAAAGTACCTTTGCGTATTAACGTCTATCAAAACCTGTTCATGTAAGTTTTCTTGCAGTAGTCACCTGGCGAACTACTCCGATATCGGATACAGGTCATGCAGACGTGTACAGACTACGCAAGGTTCGAGTAATTCGTTTTTGGATTAGATCGACTTTTATGACATCCAGAGTTCGGTATCGGTGCAACGGGACACCAGAATTCTATATCTGAGGAGACCCGATAGAAAATAATATCATTTTATCCTGAAATCCCGGATTTTACTAAATAACCAGACTTAACGGTACTGTACTCTCGGTACAACTTCGTTACTCGGGAATCTTATCAACGCTCTAATCCGTTCCCGTTTAAATTCATTTTCCACTCAAACGCTAATGACATAAAATTCGGAACACCTAATACATTATTTCCACTAAGAAAAACAATTTTGATTACCTGTGGTTGGAAGTGAAAGTTCTAAGTTAAAGGGAATTATTAATAATTATTCTTTCAATATTTCAATAGAACGCGATATAATAAATAAGCGAAGAAATGTTTAAACGTAAATAAGGGCCTATGTCAATGACATTTCTAGGAAGCAAAACAGTGCAAGGTCTCATTGCACATGCAAGTTGCAATATCTCTCTCTCTCTTTACCACCGGGTCGGGTAATGGATACTTTTCAGAAATTGCGCAATCGAGGCTTTTCTAAAATGTCTATTTACGAGTGCTTCTAAGCAGATGCGATTCCGCGTTTATTTTATTCCCGGATATCAGCCGGCAAGGACGGTTTATATTCAAGACCAGTCTCCATTTAATAGCTCTATCACGGTTTCCGGTAGTGGCGCATCTCTAATGAAGATCCCCTCAGGAATTTCCGCAAACATGTATTCCTGGACATATCGTTACTTACGGTAGGAAAGTTTACGATCGACTTCGCGTGTTATGTAAATTCCATAATCTACTTTGATATAGATTCGTTTGTTTATTCGATCCTAACGATACCACTTTGCAGGTAAATGCCCGCACCCGTGTTACTCCCAGAGGAAGATGTAGATACACCTTCGACGTCTCCACGATCTACCCAATATCCAAGTCCTCCTTTTTCCTATCATTCGACACAAGATATGTTTACTTTCCAAGGTAAATCGAACATAAATCAGAAATAAAAATCCAGCATAAATCAGAAATCGATTAAATAAAATGCATTACTCCCAGATATCACCGGAATAAAACGAGTCTATTTGAACAGGCAAGGAGGGAGATAGAAATTCCTAAAGCTCGATCAGAATCATCCAAGTAGATTAGAATGAACATGTCTTCTTCTACATATCACGATATAGACGTAGAAATAATTATGGATGTGGCGGATAGACAGAAGAGAGGACAGATTACAGCGGTATGCACCTGGATCCATCCAGAAATGCAGATCTATCCAGAATAACCACCTTCCTAATCATCCGCGTTTCCCTCACGCACGGTCTCGATCAAATGAATGCACGTTCGTGATAAACGCGTTATCATCGCTTACAAAGAAATTTCTTAATCAACCACGCAGCGGTTGCATGCTCTCGCACGGTAGCTCCGCGATTCGACTCCCTGCTATGCGAGACCGCAACGAGTCGCCTCCTACGCGACATGGAGTATGACCCATTGGTAATAAACAGGGGAAACGAAATTAGAGCGGGAAGTACGAGATGGGCTTCTCCTGGGAATGGTGATTAGCAGGGCGAGTCTGGAGGGAGTCATGAGAGAACCATAAGGGAACCAGAAGGGAACCAGAAAAGTACCAGAAGGATACCAGAAGGGAACCAGAAGCGGGCGCAAAGGCAGAGCAATCGCAATTGCGGCCGCACCGGGATTGCGGTCCAACCGGAAGAGTTACGACTCGTCTTCGTCGGTCTTATCCCCCGGAGGGCCCTGCGCTAAGTCCGGGCGAGGCCTTGCGCGCAATTAGCAGTGCGCAATAATTTAGCTAAGTTCGATTGACGCGTCCAACCGCGTGTAGATCGGCGTCGCGCGCAGATACGCGCGCGGAGTAAGCCCGGTTAATTACTAATTAACGCGGATCCTCGCCACTCCTGGGATCGGCGCTTCGTTAAGCCGGGCGCGCGGACTTTTAGCGGCGACCGGGTTGCAACTCCACCGGCCAGTCGGCAACCGGAAGAGGGGCGTGTTAACTGCATAAATAGACTCGGCAACGATATCGGGCCGCGCCGAGCTCCGCGAATCGCTACGTAGCGGACTCGGTAGCGATTTGTGGCTACCACCAAGAGCCGCTATCGCCAGCTATCTACATGTAGCAGGACCACTAAGTATCAGCGCCAGCTCGAT